GCACCACCATTAGATAAAACCTGAGAAGGATCTCCAAGGTCTAAATGAATATAATCAACTGTACCTTTAGTCGTGTGAATAGCTGTACTGAACTAGATTCTGCACTGTTTCCCAAATACACAATGCTCACAAAAATCAAGTTTCCCAATTTTTTGTTTGCCAAGCAAACCTTGTTTACACAAGACTTCCATGCCCCTCTCGCTTATGTGACTCAAACGCATATGCCATAACTGGATAGTATCTGAATCTAAAAATTTTTATGATGACACACCAGCTGCACCAATCACAGTATCACCATGAAGAACATAGACGCCATTAATCTTTTTACCTTTCATCACAACCAAGGAACCTCTGCAGTCTTTCATAACTCCACCTTCAACAGAAAACCTACAACCACTGGAATCTAAAGTACCCAAGAAAATCAAATTCTTTTTTAATTCTGGAATATGTCGTACATCTGTCGAAGTCCTCACAACCCCATCATGTGCCTTAATTCGGATAATACCTATTCCAACAGTCTTGCAAGCAACATTATTTCCCATTAAGACTGAACCACCATTGATTGACTCATAGGTGGTAAACCAATCCTTATTATGGCACATATGATAGGAACAACCCAAATCAAGAATTCATTCATCATTAAAACGTCCATCAGAGACTGTAAGGATATTATTTGAACCATCAGATGTATCTTCTGCAACACCAGCAACACTAGAGAAATTGGAAGCATTTGATTTTTTCTGTCCCGCTTTATTTTTCAACCTAAAACAACCACGCTTATAATGACCAATTTTATGACAATAAAAATATTCAACATTATTATGTTTCTTCCTAGATTGTGATCGATATTTCGCTTTTCCTTTTCCTTTATTTGAATTTCTTTTAACGGATCGACCTCTATTATTATTAGAAGAATTATCATGACGACCCTTCACAAATAAAACCTCAGCTTGAGTATCACTGCCCTTACTGTTCAATTTAGTACGCAACTCTTTAGAATTTAAAGAGGATTTCACATCAACTAAAAAGATTGAGTCTCTCCCATACAACATCGAATTAACAAAATTATCAAACGAATCAAGCAGCGAGCATAACACAATCAGGGCTTGATCTTCATCCCCAATTTTAATATCAATATTTTTTAAATCAATAATAATTTTGTTAAATTCATCAAGATGTTCATTAATGAGCGTACCTTCCTTCATCTTGAATGTGTACAACCGTTGCTTCAGATACAAGCGATTGCCGAGAGACTTCTTTATATATAAACTCTCTAACTTTTTTCATAACCCTTTGGCTTTGTCTTCATTGATAACCTCACGAAGAACTTCATCAACAAGAGACAACTGAATTGCACTGTGTATTTTGTCTTCAATATCAATATCTTTAGTTTGATCTGTCTCCTTGGATAAAGTTCCACAACGGTAAAATTTCACTATTGAAATGTTGGAGATTACAAGACTGTTCTCGTTAAACAAAGCAACAAGAGAACGTATCAAACACTTTATTCCAATATCACAATAATTATTGGTGAGCAAGATCAAAATTGCCAAACAAGAGAACTCCTCCTTGTCGTTGATGCCGCAATTACCACCCGCTGGAGAAGACCACAAAGTCTTTTTACATGCATCTGACAAAGATAATTCATGTCTTAATAAAGTAGTCTCCATTCCAACTCAAAGACTTATAAAAGTCCATTACACACTTGGACTAAACCACGTTGTCCTATTTCATATAAAATACCAAGTGATGACCCTTTTGTTGTGTAAGAGACGTGTTGCATTGTTGTGTACTATTCTCAACGGACTACCCACAAAAATAAAACTCCAAATAATAAAAAAAACAATTTGACTTGGAATACAAGTCATCACAACAGATCTTAAGACTTGGAACAAAGCATTAATGCTCAGACACCTTTGGCATTTAATCTCTGATGAAAGCAACATTTGGTCTAAATGGGTGAGGGACTATTAGCTAAAGTATGCNAACAAAGCATTAATGCTCAGACACCTTTGGCATTTAATCTCTAATGAAAGCAACATTTGGTCTAAATGGGTGAGGGACTATTATCTGAAAGGAAGAAGCATCTGGATTGTCAAACCCTCACATACTTGTTCATGGAATTGGAGGAAAATTTTGAAGATAAGAGATTTTGCTAGACCTTTCTTGCTCCACATTATTGGCGATGGGAGAGAAACAACACTATGGTTTGATAATTGGCATCCTGTTGGTCCACTAATGCTTAGATGGACTCCTAGAATTATGTATGATTTTGGCCTCAACATGAATGCTAAAGTATGTCATATTATACATGGAAATCAATGGAGATGGCCTAGGGCTAATGCTAGAAACAACAGAGAGTTATTGCAAATTGAGGTTTCCATGCCATCCTACTCTCCTAGACCTGAAATGAAGGATGTTGTTAAATGGTTGGTAACCCCTAGTGGCTCCTTCTACTCTTTTTCTGCCCTGGAGGAACTAAGATATAGACAGCCTTTGGTTCCCTAGCACAAGCTTCTTTGGTTTAGTCAATGTATTCCAAAGATGAGCTTCATTCTTTGGCTTGCCTATAGATGCAGACTTTCAACCAAGGATCGCATTCATAGCTATATGCAAAGTGTGTATTTAAATTGTGTCTTGTGTAGGGTAACTCCTGAAACACACTCTCATTTATTCTTTGATTGCACCTACTCTGAAAGGATCTGGAATTATGTTCTTGAGAAATGTCACCTGCCTTGGCAACAATTACCTTGGTAGGATTTTTATTTTCCNCTGAAATGAAGGATGTTGTTAAATGGTTGGTAACCCCTAGTGGCTCCTTCTACTCTTTTTCTGCCCTGGAGGAACTAAGATATAGACAGCCTTTGGTTCCCTAGCACAAGCTTCTTTGGTTTAGTCAATGTATTCCAAAGATGAGCTTCATTCTTTGGCTTGCCTATAGATGCAAACTTTCAACCAAGGATCGCATTCATAGCTATATGCAAAGTGTGTATTTAAATTGTGTCTTGTGTAGCGTAACTCCTGAAACACACTCTCATTTATTCTTTGATTGCACCTACTCTGAAAGGATCTGGAAATATGTTCTTGAGAAATGTCACCTGCCTTGGCAACAATTACCTTGGTAGGATTTTTATTTTCTAGTCAGCAAACAATTGGAAGGGGAAGAATCTTGCCATTGTGATCAAGAAGCTTTGTCTTGCAGGAATGGTTTATACGATATGGAATGAGATGAATCAAAGGATATTCAGGAACCAGCAAAAGGATCATGTGACAATCTAGCAAGTAATCATCAATACTGTCAGGAATAGATTAATGTCTTTGAAGATTAAGAAAAATACAGAGAATCGAAGAATTGCTCACTCATAGCAGCTACCCAATTCTCTTTTTTGAGGATGATGTAGAATCTATGCTAATTACATAGAATGTTTTTTGGTTTAAATCTTTGGAGAATACTAAAAATATTCAGCAATCTCCCTAGATTTTCTCTGTTTTTGTTTGTGTTTGGTTCTAATCTTGCAAATTTTTGGTAGACAAGTGTTACCATTTCTTGTAATTTCTCCTTGGATATCAATATACTGTTTAATTACCCAAAAAAAAAAAGATTCATGAGGTTAAAGAAAGCATTCCAATATAAAGTCTGACAATTTATTTTGATAGAACCAAAAAAAATTCTTCAATGACGTCGTGAAATGAAATTATTAGATATGCTATCATTTGAAATCCTTATTATCAAATCTTGGCTCCGTCCAAGCATTGCAAGGGGTTTAATACGACCTTGCCTCAGGGAAATTGCTCATCACCAAAAAAACATTCGTGAGTTCATAAAATCATTATCAATGTTTGTTTTTTATTTTTATTTTTAATGAGAAACCTCTTCAAGGTATAACCACTTTGAACTTATTTCTATCCAGTAATCTCCTAATATATGCAATCAATTACCAAAAATAGCTAATAGTCAAATACAAAAATGATTCGCGATAACAAAGCCATTAGGAATAGTTTTGTGGTTGAATTTGACCATCGATATTTCAGAGGTCAATATTGCCCTTTTTTGGTGTTTTGTTTCCATGTTGCTGGAGCAGTAGGCGACGCCTACTTTTGATGGAGGGCACCCCTTTTTTATGTACATTTTTTTGCTCTATTATCAATATATATCACTTTATTTTCCAGAAAAAAAAAAATTAGAGATTCAATTCATTTCTACACCCCTAGGGGCAAACTAACTTTGTTCCTTTAGAGATATGCTCTAATCCAACTCAAATCATGGTAGTCGGCCTTTAATTCAAGAGAATAGTTAGGACAAGTCTGAACATCCTTTTACCCAAAAAAAAAAACCAAACAATGTACTGCACACTGTACGGGTTTATCATTGCATTCTAGCAATAAAACAGCGTGTACCATAAACTTTTTCCTTCCTTGTCCATTTTCTCTCATGTATTACACATGTTTGTGTAAATAGAAATAGCTAAGAAAGATGGCATCTTTGCCACTAGATATTAAACTCTAAATTATAGATAGCAGAAAAGCAATGACAGTAAAAGGGTTAATTCCCGATACATATAACCTCATAAATATCCCAGCATACATATAAATTCCCTATACTGCATGCAAACCAAGGGAAAAAATCAACTTGAAATAACTATAACTAAACCATAATCTCTTTTTTTTTTTTTGAAGAACGGGAACGGTTAAGAATTTGAAAACCTTGATTTTAACAAGGTAAAATTTTCACAAAATAAAGAGTACTATTAGACTAACGACCCATTGGTTACTAAACCGCAATCTAAATTCCCTAAAAAAACTGAAAAAATATCCCAAGAAGCTAAGGATGCTCTCTCTTTCCTTTTTTTTTATTTTTTATTTTTTATTTTTTGTGTTTGGAACACAAGGATACTCTATTCTGATTTAATCTTTGAAGTCACTGTTGCTAGGATCTGACTGCTTTGGCTCAANTATTTTTTATTTTTTGTGTTTGGAACACAAGGATACTCTATTCTGATTTAATCTTTGAAGTCACTGTTGCTAGGATCTGACTGCTTTGGCTCAAAATTAAAAAGAAATTGGTCCCGAGGATCTACCTTTCGAAGTCCCATTTCCTCTTCTTCTCTTGGCATACAATCACAAGGCAACTGATTGAACTGTGTGAGGCTGGGATTGTCTTCCATCAAATGACTTGACTGCTTCCATGATCTCGGCCCGGCCATCCCCATTGCATCGTGATACTCGGATACACTAGCCATCATAGCTTGACAATGATCGAACGGAAGGAATTGACTCTGTGGAACTTCTGTGAATCCACTTGGGATATACCGATGATACGGGAAGCTATCGAACTGGTTGAAGTATGACATGGAAGCCTCATTGTCAATGTAACTATAAGCAGTGTTGATTTCAGTTGTTAAATTCTCATTGAATGGCATATAACACTCTCCTGGAACTATGGTTGAGACTTCTGCTTGTACATGTTGATTATCCATCTGACATGGTTGAACACTGTTGGTGGCTTGTTGATTCGGAGCCTCTCCATGTGGAAGCTCATTTGTTTTTTTCTTCGATTCTGCTTTCTTATAAATCCTGCACAGAATTATGTCATCCAACTGCAAACAACAAAGATGATCAAGAGTTAGCACAAGTGTAAAATATGACTATACACTCTTTTTAAATCTAAAATCCCTCCTAACCACGCGTTTTTGGGACACACAAACTGCAGAGTTGCAAAATTACAAGGAAACCAGTGCATTGCATTAATCCAGATGCAGATTTGTAGTGGTGGCAATGGCCGCTATGTTTTCCAAGTTTTTGTGGTCAAGTAAAGAGTTTTTGAACTTGCACCAACTAAAAAGTATGTAAAAAAATTGAAAGATAATGTTATATTTCAGAAAAACAAGAAAAAAATGGGATTCTTTAACAAGTTAATGTTTTAAACTTAAAATTCTCTCATACGCTAGTGTCTCTTCAGTCACAAATTTCTTTCATTCACTTTGCAGTGACACATCGCGTCATTAAACTAATTTACTAATCAGTTTTAAGTTCTTACCACTACAAATAAATCTTGGCTCAGCCCTAATAACGCAGGACTTCCTTGCATGAGTAACACATGGGATCTTGATATAGTAACCCCTAAATTCCTCGTATTCAATTCAAAACATAAAGACTAGAAGAAGTTTAGTAGTTTAGTACCCTCATGTCGCTCGAACCCTTTGGCCTCCTTGGACCATTTTTAGCTATGTACTCATGCATAATCCAAGAAGTCTTGTCCCCACCTGAAGCTTTTCCACTATAATATACCAAAACCTTTTTGAAACCAACCACAATATCATTGGAACTGATAGATTTGTCAACACCAGTAGCTTTCCAGTAGCCATCCACTGTAGCCCGATTCGGTCGATCTCCATTCTTATACTTTCTCTTTCTTGGTGTGAAGAAGTACCATTCCCTTTCTCCACTTGGTTGGTAGTTTTCTAGCAATCAAAAAATGTCAGGCTTCACTCGGTATGAAAAATTTAATGGAAACGTCTCCACACATCGAAAAAANTCTAGCAATCAAAAAATGTCAGGCTTCACTCGGTATGAAAAATTTAATGGAAACGTCTCCACACATCGAAAAAATAAAAATAAAAAAAATACTAGAGTGATCAAATTTTGGGATCAAATATCCGTTCCAAATGATATGACAGTTGAGTTGAGTTTCTTTATTCAATATCATGTCATTTGAGTTTCAATAAAGACTCTAAATAATATACTGTCATGTCATTTGGAATAGATATTTAGTCAATAAATTTAGTTAGTGTAATATTACTTAAAAAAAAAAAGGAACAAGAGTCCTAGAAAAACTTGAGGAAACAAAACNAATAAATTTAGTTAGTGTAATATTACTTAAAAAAAAAAAGGAACAAGAGTCCTAGAAAAACTTGAGGAAACAAAACCACATTGGAATATTAAGTCACGGGGAAATTACACTTCAGTAGTACCTTCAAAATCTAGCAGCGATGTCCATTTAATATCAATTTTCTTACTCTATCTTTTCAATTATATTAATTGATTTCACATTAAGGTAATAAAATCAATCATAAAGACAGCAATGTGATATGGAGTTAATACTTTAGTGGGATAAAATGTAGTTCTCCCTTACCTCATCCACTGGCAAATTTTCAAAACTGGCAATTTGACTCAATCATTTTATCATCACAAACAGATTCCTTCTATATTTTATGGAACTCCACTGAAAATTTCCCAAAATAGAAAGAAAGCATGCCCTATTATGTCTTGCTGACAAAATCTTATTGAAACTACAATCAGAATTATGTTCTATTTATTAAACAAGTCAAGATACATGACACTAATCTCAAAGTGCTAAAAAGAAAGAAAAAAGAAGGAAAATAATGGCAACACACCTGCAATGAAAATTAAAATAATTATACAAAAACAATATAATTTTCACAAGAGAAATTAAAATAATATGTAGCAGCCAAGTAATAATTCATGAACTTGAAAGTGCATTATGACAGATACAATCTAATGACTTGAACCAATGTATCGACCCAATTATATACCAAAGATAGAGCTCACTCTCTTGCCAATTAGGTGAATTTGGGATGCATCTTTTGTAGACAATTCCCTGAATCTCATTCTTATCTCTTTTTTGAAAGCACTTTCTCCCATGGTGTTTAGAAATCCATTCTCACCTGCAGTCAAACTCAGTGGTCTCCTTCTCCTTGACTCTCCTTCATTAATTGGGCTGCTACCCATTGGAAGGTAAAATCTACACTCTCTGTCATCCTTAAGCTTAGCCTTGCATCTACAATTTATCATAAATGAGTGGAAAGAAACTCTAGAGTGTTCTTTAACCAATTCAAGGACCACAATACTCTAATTCAAGTCATCAACAAGCAATTAAGGACATACTCATGTCTACTAAATTCAAGTACTTCAACCAGAATCTTAGGATGCTGCATCTATGAGATCTTTCTCTCAGCTGCTTAGCATGATTATTTTTGAGGACTATTTTATATAACCTTTGGACGTGGATTCTTGGGAAGTATTGAGTATCCTTTATACTTCCCTTTGAATTCTATCTGTCTTCTCTATTTTGATGGACAACGTTAATTGTTTTTTTGTTTGCTCATGTATAGCTTCTTTTTAATACAAACTTTACCTTTCGAGATATGCCAGTTGACATGATCTTCATAAATAAGTCCAATTTACACTACAAGGTCAAGATATTAGGTCTCAAAAGCTATCATCATGCTAGATAGTAATTTACCAGGAGGAACCCTTGTAGCATTATCTGAGCAAGACAATGCACAATTGGTGAGCATAAGCTAGTCTGAATAGAGTTTTCAATGATACTTCTTGTCTTGTAAAAGTTTTGTCTTATTGAGGTCAAGAGTTCGAATCTCTCTTCCCCTTTTCTCTCCCCAAAAAAAAAATACAAACTTTAAAAAAAAAGAAAAAAGAATAGAGTTTTCGTGCATCTGCAAGAAACAAATCCAAGGTAGCAAAAAAAAAATTCTAAAATATTTACTTCGATATCACTAAGAAAAGAGAGTTTCACTTGAACCTCCTATTCTTCCACAACTTCAAAACACAAAAAATAACCTTCTCCATGAACGTATTTTTCAGTTTTGAGCAACTACTTGAATCTTAATGATAAAATCCTAAAAGAACGTAGGCCAACGGAAGTCGAAAAACTATACTGTTTTATTTTCTTGTGGGTAAGTCAGTATACTAACTATGTGGTATCAGGCAGACACAAATCACAGGGAAAGAGAAAAAAAAAAAAGGCAAGATCATATATGGATTGCCGGAGAAGAAAATCTTGATTCTTGGGAGCCTATAAACGGGTAATATAAATACCAGTCCAAGACACGCTAATTCAATTCAACTAAACTTTACAATTCTGAATATCTGGGGCTGATTACATTAAATCATGTTTTTTTATTGTTTTTTTATCAAAGCATATATTCTTCGCTGAACCTGAACTACCTATCTCATTACCATTGATATGACTCTAACGCACATCAATACACACACAAAATTAATTATCAACCAAAAGAAAAACTGAATAAGAGAAACCATTGAGAGGAATATCGTATTGAAAGAAAAACCCTAAACATGTGGCGTTGAAGGTAACAGTTCTAGTGATTAATATACACAGCACTCAAGTAATGATTCATAAAATCCCAACAAAATCCAGATATCATAGCAAGGCATTCCTTTTTTTTTTGGTACACATAACAAGGCATTCAAGCACCACAGCTAAGTAAACCGGTAAACCCTAACACACAATACGCAACGTTCAGTGTTAGTTTCATTCTACAATACATTATCAGATACATATTCAAAGAAGTGGAAGGAAAAGATTTATTTCACCTGCTAGTGTTTGAGGATTGTGTTTGTATACGTCAACCTCATGAATCTTGTTGGGTGGCAACCGTTCGTTCTTCACCTTCTTCAGCAGGTAATATTTAACAATCTCCTCATCGGTAGGCATAAACCGATAACCGGGCGGAAACGTATCGAAATAAGCATCCCGTTCTGAATAAGTTAAAATGCCATTGTCGTGCTCAGGAATGAGAGCTTGAGTTGGAGCAGAGATATCACTAGGGTTTGAAACCGCTTGTCTGTTCTCCATGGTAGAAGACTTTGAAAGAAGATTTTCTTGAGCTCTACCTGGACAAGGAGTGATGTAGCGTGAGATTGATGTTCTTGATCCAGTTCTTGGACTCGATTATTTAGCTAAATCACTGACTTCTTTAAATTACAACTTATCTTCCAATAGTTATCTTTGGGCCCACTGAAGACTTTGAAAGAAGATTTTCTTGAGCTCTATCTGGAGGAGTGATTAGCGTGAGATTGATGTTCTCTATCCAGTTCTTGGACCCGATTATTTAGGTAAATTACTGAGTTGTTTAAATTACAACTTATCTTCCAATAGTCATTTTTGGGATCTTTGGGCCACTGAAGCAGGCTCAACAGAAGAGCCAAAAATATAGGAAAATTTGGGTGTTGTTCCTAGAATTATTTGGATTTAAATTCACTCAAAAATTTATTTGGAATTAATTTCATTTTAATTCTTATTGTCCAAAATACACTCAATAATTATATTTAATTAAAACAAATTTAAAACTAACAGCTTATAAAATTTAAGAGTTTCTCTATTATGTTTATCTGCATCTATATATAGATTAGAACTACACACACACATATATATACACTAGATGGTGTATGCGTGTTTTGTGCGTCAACTAATTTAACATATTTTTTTGTGAATAAATTAAAAATTATTTGTCATCTTTTCAACTGTCCATTACATAACTTTACCCATATCATTTCAAAGTGTGAGGGTTACTTTTTTTGTTTTTTTTTCAAAAGTACTTTTTTTTTTAGGGGGCTTGAACCCTTGACTTAAAGAAGATAAAATTTTCACAGGACAATGAGTATTATTAGACCAAAAGCCCATTGGTGAGGCTTACTAACATTACAATTTTATGTAAATAATGTTTTCTACCCGACCATCATTGGAAGCTTCCTACATCTAATCCTTATTACAGGCTCGTCAAAGTGAGAGAAAAAAAAATATGTCACAATTGTCGACCAAGAAAATTCTAAGCTTAGTGAGCTAGTGTCCAAAGAGAGTCCAATAGAAAATCCTTGAATCGAAATTAGATAAGAATATCTAAGCATTTAATTAATCAGTCAATTTATGTTTATTCCTAACATATACCATATGACACACTAATATGCTCCAATTTTTTTTTTATTCAAGTTGTATTTGACATTGAGTGCATACCAAATGATTTTATTGAAAGTTTCAATTATACTACCCATAAAGGATTTTAGCTAGAATGGTTTGTTACCACCGACAATATACAAGAAAAATAGTTTTTAAAGACATTTGATTTCGGCATTGGGACAAACTTTGGGCATTTCAGGTGTTTTATTGAAAATGTTTAGACTCATCCTTTTTTATCTGGCATTTATTAACTTTCAAAGCCATATCCAAAAATTCTTTTCTTATAGTGTGATTTCTATTTTCCATCAACATGAACATGCATAATTTATATTCAAAAGTATATGAATAATTGATTTTTCTTAGAAAAATGTCAGAAAACCTATATCCATCAATAATGGCTAACGGATGTCAATGCAGTGAGTGATCTAACCATAAAAGTTGCCTCAAGCACTAAATCGACAATTATACTATTGAAAAATTTTATATTTGTCAAGAAAGAGATACAATTGTTAAGTTGTCCTTAGATATCAAATATTTTCCTAATAAAATTTATAAAATGTTTAAGAAAAAGTATCTCAAAAAGCAAAGAACCCTCAATAAGCAACCTCTTTCAAAGGCCATCTCAAGTTAGGTACATCACCCAAAGAGGGGGAAGGGTTTGCAATATTTTGCCACTATAGGACTGAATAGATGTGCAATGTTTAAAGAGTTTCATCAACACGTCTAGTAGTAATCTTACTTTTGCTTAATATATATACCTTTATTTGAAAATGTGTCATTGATCTATACCTCAACAAAATGTTTGTGTGTATATGGGTGAGAGAGAGAGAGCTGAATTGGCTCAGTATTGTAAGATATGTAGTCCAAAACTTGCGATAGCCAATCATACCCCAAAGATACTAATGGGCCAAATCCAAGGGCCTAACTCACAATGTAAGCCCAGTTTTAACTAGGAGTCCAACTCCAGAGAAAATCTAGCAAAGTCTAGCCCATAGCGGTCCACTCCTAGTCAGGCTCATTAAGTACAAGGAACTACGTTAGCAAGGGCGTTTGCAGGGTCATCCACGCCGCCTTGGAAAGAGTCAACACCCACCTCATCCTTTGACCGAATCTTATGGAGAGCACCATAACTGTCTCACTCATTGAGAAGAGACCGCTACTTCCACTAGAATAACCATTTGGTTGCTAACAACTCGTCCCAAACTGTTATTAGGGCGATTATAAATTGTAAGTTCTGTCAACACTTGGGGGGGCACCACACACAATTAAGCATATCTCTCATCTCTCTCTCTAAGCTTGTAACTCTCAGCTCTACCTATGCACTTGAGTTAATAAAATATCCGGCGACCCTAACCATTCAAAATGGACGTAGGTCAAATTGACCGAACCATTATAAACTTTGTCTTCTTTTTCTCTACTTATTTAATAGTGTTTACTTGAAAGGTGATGTGCAAACTAATTTGTGCATCATCAGTTTGACATCGTCTGTTGAAACGACTAAATTCTTACTTCTAAACACTCCTTCTGTTTAACCCATGATGATCACCACCAGATCCATGAATTAACTAATCATATGCTAAATAATTATTTAACATACATATTATTTCATAATCACATAAACAAATTAATAATCTTATTAAACTTGATATGCCACTAAAACATCAAGTCATGCTAATGTACAATTAACATATTTTAAACCAATAACATTAACTTATATCAAGTTAATTATAATAAGATTTTACTAATTACAAGATTAATTATAAATCATATATTTGACCAACTAGTTACACTAGTCAAGGCTTAACATGTGATATACATTCTTAGCCTACTCATTTCAAATGCTATATTTTAGGTTGAAATTACATCTAAATAGGGGAAACCCTACCTCTCGTAGCGTGAGTCTACGTAGTAGAACTCTAAGTAAAGCCCAAATTTTTAGCTTCCCAAACCTTAGTCTTAAATTCTCGTCTTTGATATTTTTGGAGAAAAATGCAATCTCTGGTATGATTGCATAGCTCTCGTTGCATAGAACAATTTTAATTATTGGCTCAAAGCGATTAAATGGTCTGATATTTGTAGATTTAAGAAGGAACTTGTACCAAATATTTAAGTATTAATTTTTTTCTAAAAAATTATTTACGTGCAATGCACGTAATACATTGCTAATGTTAGCAATTGGTTTTTGGTCAAATGATATTATTTATCTTGTGAAAATTTTGTCTACTTGAGGTCAAGGGTTCAAATCCCTTTTCCCCTCCCAAAAAAAAAGTTGTAAAAAATAAGTAGTGAATTGGTAGTACATATTAAAAGGCTATATATTTGCACAAAAAGTTCTAGAAATACTTACCGGAAAAAAAAAAAAAGGTTCTAGAAATACCATAAATATATAATATTTGAGAGTATCATAGTGATTCATGGTAAGATGAAACTATAAATAGGTGGGGGTTTTCATTTGCAAGAGACAAGCAACCAAGTCCTAGTTTAGATTCGAGGCCTTTTTTCATCTGTGTCGGAGTTTTTGCTTAGTTATTTTTTTTCTAACACACAATATAATTGAAAAAAACAAAGAGGATTTGAGTAACTTAATATTTAAAACTCCTACTAACATTTATTATTTGGAAAATTATTTTTTATATTAATAAATTTTAATTTTTTCTATATTTTTTTAACTAATGACAGACTTTATTACATTTTGGTCTATAAATTCTAATTCAATTAATAGAATTATATACGAAAAACTTGAATGTAAAAGTTGAATTTGTATTTTTGCTTGTCAAAAATAAGAAAACTATTTTTAAACAAATAATAATATTTGAATAATTCTATATTTTATTTGTCATGAAGCCCCATCTAATATTTTTCCCTATTGTCCAAATTTGGGTCTTGCCGCCCAGGTAGATTGTTTGCATGGGATTGATATTCTTGATCTTTATAAGCTGAACTCTAATATTTAGGGAAATTAATTATAATTGAGTTCTTTAAATTCAGTCTTATCTTCTAGAACACCTATGTTGAGATGGGCCCCATTGATAGTCAGTCAAAAGTTAATATAAGTCAATCGACTTAAGAGGTTTGTTATCGATGTTGAATTTTTTTTCATTTTATTCCCACTTTTTAAGGTGAGTGAATTTTATTTTGTTGTTCTTCTAAATCACAAATGGTGAAATTTTGAAACCTCAATTTAATTGGTATTGTGGAGAATTGCTTTTAAAAAGTCACCATTATTCTAACTAATATTTTAATTGATATTTGAAGCATTTTTTCTTATGTCAAGAAAATCTTGTAACATTTTTTTACCTCAATTAAAATCATCTCGTATTATGAAAAAATTAATAAGCTTATATGTGGGGTTGTTCATCGGTCGAGCAAAGTACGGAGAAAGTTGGACAAATTACGGAGAAAGTTGGACAAATTACTTATTCATGATGCAATTTGAATACTGAGTTCGAGCCAAGTTGACCTAGTTTTCGGGCCAGACTTTCCTGACTAAAAATATTATTAATAGGTGTAAAACTTTTAATACTTATTTTCGAGTCATTCATACTTAACAAGTAAAAATTTATACGCCAAATCAAAATAATTTTTCACATTACTAGATAGTTGAGTTTTAATTGGATTTTAGTATCATGTTCCAATCCTACTCAAATTGAACAAACCCCCTATTCATCTCCTGACGAATAGGATCGTGCCAAGTAATGATTTATACGGTTTTTGCTATGAGATGAGTTTTCTCTTATCCCATTTTTTTGTCCAAATAATTTCGGAAGGCTTAATTTGGTTAGAAAGAAAGTCACGATGAAAAATGAAAAATGAAAAAAAGTAGAAAGTGAAGTGAAAAAAATAAAATAGAAAGAAAATTTTGTTTTCTTATATGCGTTTGATTAGAATGAAAAGTTTGTTAGAAAAATATAAAAAAAATTAGTATAAGAACTAAATTATCCTTATCATATTAATCTAATGGAGAAATGATAAGTCGGCAAAACAGGAAAAATAAGCAACTTTCATGGGAAAAAAAAATTTCCTGCACTATTTGTGGAAAACCAAAATAGATATTTGTAGGAAATTTTGATATTTGAGGGAAAAAAAATTTTCTCAAGAAATTGTACTTTTTAGCTAATCAAACAAAGAAAAAATTGGTTTTTCTTTTCATTTTCTTGCACTTTCCAGTGCTTTGACCCTAACCAAACGAAGCGTAAACGAAAATTTTGGATTTAAAATTCTACTTGGATTCACCCACATAGCCACTGTTTGTTTCTTTGGCTCATAATATCCCACCTTTTTATAGTTCCATTGTATCTTTTAACATAATGTCTACTATCAGTAGTCTGGCAATGAGCTACTCCGGGCTAAACATAGGAATTGAGGTTAGAGGACAGGTCTGGTCGGGTCAGCTTCGGACTAATCAATGTTTTAAAATTTAATACTAGATATAATTATAACAATATTTTGAAAGAAGTATGCCCATTCTCTTCTCTCAAACCCATTTCTTATAAAATTTGGCAATCATATCAGCTTAAGTAAGTTCGTATCGAATTTTAGCAGGTACTTATAAAAAATTATTCAACTCATATATGACAAGTTTATTTAAATGGGTGTAAACTGTAAAATTAAATATGACTTGTTTATTATGTGAGTCTAAAAGATCCACCCATTTATATCTCGCAATACTCAAACATGTTAATTTTGTGTTCATTTTTTATTAGATAATCGGATCGTATTGAATTTTACCAAGTCTATTCTTCATTGAAGAGTTTTTAATTTTTTTTAAGAATCTTAATGTATAATTTTGTCTAATTTGGTCGTGGGTACCTTATTGGTATCTTTTTGACCAATAGGTCCAAGCGCATACTTTTTAAGGCTAAAAGTTTTCAAAAGACAAATTTTAATGGTCAACACAAAAGTTGCTCATTTTAAAATTCAAACAAATTTAAAATCTCCTTTATTTTAGGGCATTTCAAATCTAGATACCTTTCTTTTAAATATACTAGTTAGTATATAAATGCGTTGCACGTAAACAATTTTAATTGTCAAATATTGTATAATATAACTTAAAATATCATTTGGTATTTGAATAATTAGGGTTTGATAAAAACAAGGGAGTTTACTAAAAGTTAAATGTGTGTGTGTCACAAATTTTATAGTCACAATCATATTGTTTTGTTAAAATCAATTTACAACCCTATTTCACATGTTAGAAATATTCAGAGCGAACATATAAACCACCAAATATTATATGTATTGAACTCATCTCATTGGTACACATAGAGAACCTGAATCATTTGCACCTTGGTATAAACTCATATGGTATAGTCAAGCAATTCCAAGACTGAGTTTTATTCTATGGCTTGCTGTTAGAATGAAGCTAAGCACTAAGGATAGGCTTCAAGCCTTCATACTAAACTTGGTGGTTGATTGCATGCTGTGCAGAGAGGAACCTAAATGATCATATTCACACAGAATCTGGACTGAATTCTTCTCACAGAGTGGGCTTCAATGGCAAGTTATACCCTGGGATGAATTTATTGTATGGTCAGCACAACAATGGAGAGGTAGAAGTTTGATGTCAGTCTTGATGAAATTGAGCTTATCAGTCACAACTTAAAGTTTATGGAGGGAAAGGAATGGCAACCACTTCAGGGACTCCAACTCCTCCAAACAATCAAGCAAACTGTAATGGATAGAACCATCTCTTTAAAATTCAAGAACTCAAGGAAAAACCAACTCAACTATAGAGATGGTATTCCAGCTACCTGCTTATGCTGAGGTTTCTAATATGGGCATTTTGTTAATGCCATAGGGTAACTTGTTTGGCCTTGGTGCATGAATTTACTGTGGGTACCCAGGACAGGGCATTAACAACACACTCATTACATTTACAACCTTAGGTGATGTTTTTGTGATAGTTATTATACACTCTGTTTAGAGTATGATGATGCACAAATTGAGTTTGCACATCACCTGTTAAATGATCAGTAACAAATGCATTAATAAAGTAGAGAGAAATAATAAGCTAAACGAGACAAGAATTTATAGTGGTTCAGTCAATATGACCTACGTCCATTTTGAAGGGCTAGGGTCACCTGAGTATTTTATTACTTAAAGGTGTGTAGTGAGAATAGAGACATACAAGCTAGGAAAGTTACAAATATGCTTGATTGAGCATGATGCCCCCTAGGTGTTGGTGGGACTTACAATTTATAGTCGCCTCCTAATAGATTGAGGCGAATCATTAGTAACTAAATGACTAATCTGATGGAGCTGGTGCCCTTTTCTCAATAGATGGGATAGTTACGATGCTCTCCATAAGATCCAGTCAAAGGATAATGTGGTGGTTGACTCTTTCCAAGGCGGCATGAATGAGACTCTTGGATAACCAAGCTTACTCCCTTGGCGATGTAGCTCTTCGAACCCTGATGAGCTTGACCGGGTGTGGACCCCTTTGGGCTGGACTTTATTAGATCTCTTTAAGTTGGGCTCTTAATTTAAACTGGGCTTATAACATAAGTTGGGCCATTGGACCTGGCTCATCAATTGTCCCCCAATGCCCTGTGTCCAATGAAACTTGGAGAAGGGAGCATTTGGTTGAAACTTGAATTCCGGCGGGTGGAGACCCCTTTTGATTGATGACTCTTCCCCTTCGTGATATATCTTATCTTTGCAGAACACCTCAAGACCTTCCCCATTTTTATTCGGATTCTAGAAGAACCCTTGGTTTCAAATAGGGACTTTTCCCTTTTTTTCCATTCCTTAATAGGATTTAAAAAAAACCCTAGTTTATAAATAGAGAGTTTATTCCCCATTTCCCTCACTTTGGGAGAGAATTCCTTCTTGAGACATTTGAGAACCCAAGACTTGAGATCTTGTTCTTTGAGATGAGTTCTCAGAAATTAATGTCAAGCAAAGGAAAGGAGATACGAAGGTCCACTGGTTTCCATGGCGATGGAGCAACTAGCATAGAGGTTCTGAGCGAGCCAGCTGTGCGTGCAATTTAGGCGCTAGAGCTGGGTGTCACTGGTGTGGAGGCGCTGGGAGTCGAGAGGGGGGGCACTAGTGAGGCGCTGGATGCAGATGAGATGGGCGCCGGTCTGGGTGAGCAGGCTATTCATGCAAAGGACTTCACGTGGGATACTTGTTCTACTGTTTGGGCAAGGGACTTTGCGAGGGAGATGCGAGTCGTTGACTAGGGGACCTTGGGCGCCACTGGCCAAGCATCTCAAGCACCGGGCACTGAGACTTAGGCAACCCAAGCGTTGTGTTCAAGGCAACCCAGGTGCACGACGAGGTGCTGCTGGAGGCGGGCGAGACGCAGCTGGCGACGGGAACTTTTGGTGGTGATAATTCTGGTAATTTGGCAGATGATATGGCTCATTCAGGTAGAACTTCTCAAAGTCAGATTCGTCAAGGCTTCCTTGGTAGTGACTCGGGCAATGTTTCACACCCTCGCAACAAAAAACACCGAGGAAAGGTAGCTCTTAATGACGATGGATCCAAAGTAAGTACCATCTCTAGTACACTAAATTCTGATGCTGATATTATGAGGATTGTCTCTGCTTATAAAATTCTTCCAAAGGTATTGTGCCATCAAGCTGAGATGGGTGAGCCTGCTTGTGATGACTTATCTGGAGACATTGCTATCTATATGGAGATGCTTGAGGCTGGGCTCAGGTTCCCAATACCTTCTTTCATTTGTCGTATTTGCATTACTTTTCACTGGCACCAGGGTAGTTGGCACCCAATGGTTAGAGAGTTTTGTTGAATTTTCTGGCATTGTGGTGGAAGGCGCATCATGAGGATGCCTTTCTTGACGAGTTTTATGCAGCTTATACTTTGAGTGAGACTCCTGCTCCTAATCGAGGCTGGTACTATTTTACTACGAGGGGAGGTAAGTTGATTATCGGATTGTGCTCTAACTGTCATAGCTGGAACTCTCGCTTCATGTTCGTCAGCCGATAGTGGGCTTCATAAGCTGATAGGGCTTTGGTACCAATAGGATGGGGTACTCCTAAGAAAGTTGGTATGCCCTACACTTACTCTCTCTCCTTCGCCTTTTTTTGTAACTATGTACGCATCACACTCGTTGCAAGTTCTCTTGTGCTCTCGAAGGACCAAAAGTGGAAGTTACAGATTGTGAGGGCTCATCCTGTAAAGGAATTTGGAGCTCTTATGCCCAAAGATGGTAGATCCAACAATTCCACTGCAGTCGGTGCTAGGGCTGGTGCATCTTCTCCGAGATCAGGCAGTTCCTCCTTGAAGAGAAAGGGTACGTTGATTCTCTTGTACTTTTTTCCTTTACTTGGTTTATCATCTAGATGACACTTTATCTCTGTTGCAGTGGATAGAATGGTGGTAGAGTCCCATTATTCCACTTGGAGCACTCCTCCTTCTATGGTGGCGAGGATGAACGATGCTTTGATGAGCTCCTCTCATGTGACCCCTTCAGTGATGCACCCTCGATTGGTGACTACTTCAGATATGACCGCTACTCTAAAGACTCCCCTATCGACAACACCTCTTACCCCCCATTCATCAACTCCTCCTATGGGAACTTCTACAGGAGCACCTGCTAAGATTGGCTCCATGTTGGGTAACGTGCCAGTCATCAAGGATCGACTTGGGAGGTTTATGTTTTCGACAGGTGTTAATAAAATTATTGCTCTGGGCATCGAGGGAATCATCAACACTTTTTCTGAAAAGGTCTAGCTCAGGTAAGGGTTTGTTGTCTCCCTTTCTCCAGTCCCTTCTTAGGTGTTGACATTCTTTTGCCTTTTGTCATTTTTAGATTTCAACTGCATCTGTATGCTTATTTTTAAGGGCTTTTTATTATAGTCAGTTGAAGCATAGTCATGAGACTATGAAAAAGGAGCTTCTTGCTGCTTAGGGAAGGATTGCTGAACTTAAAGCTGATGGTAGGGCTTCCCAAGCTAAACTTGTGACAACCTATGAAAGGGCCGCGCTCAGAGAGCCTGCTTGCACGAGGGTTGAAATAGAGCTTTTGGCAGCCCGTGAAAGAGTGGCTAAGCTTGAGACTGACGCGCTCAAGGAGGCTAAGCTTGTGGAGACCTGCGAGAAGGCCACACTCAGAGAGGTTATCTGCTTGAGAGCGGAGGCAGAGACAAAGGTTGCTTACGAGGGGTCTTCTCAGGCTAAGGCGGATCTACTATTGGCTTATGAAAGGGCCGTCAAGGCTGAGAGTGATTTAGAGAGTGACCTTGAAGATGCCTTCATTGATGGTTACAAGGAGTTTCGGGAAAAAGATTTCTGCTACTTTTCTTGATATTGATCTTTTAGGCTTCGTGCCATATGAGGCACCTGATGATAGTGATGCCGAGGGTGAGGAGAAGGATGACGACCATGAGAGAAGTTAGAGTGCTAGGGATTTTTGATTTTTTTTTAAGAAGGACAGTCTGTAGCCTTACTTCTGTAAAAGTGGTTTTTTGCCACTGCTGTTCTTTTGAAATAAAATGCAAGAAGGTAAAGAACTTTTGAAGTCAATTTAGAAAATTTTATTCAATGATTGTTTATGTCAAGCAATAGTGGGTAATAACCCAAGAAAAATACAAAAATTAAAATCAAGTTCCCCAACTTTATTACTTATACTCTCCTAAGGTGTCATTAGTAGTACCTCTTTAGGTGCTCAACATTCCACAGATGGGGTAAGACCTTCCTCTCGGAATTCTGAATTTTGTAGGTGTCTAACCTCACCACTTCTGTTATGAGGTAGAGTTCCTCTCAATTTGGTTTCAACTTTCCTTCTTGCGAATCCTTTGTGGCGAGAATCACTTTCTTAAGGACCAAGTCTCCTGGTTCGCAGGAACGAGGCTTTATCCTCAAGTCGTAGTATCTTGCCATGCGGCGCTTGTACTCTGCATTGCGGACCACAACAATCTCCCTTGCCTCTTCCACCAAGTCGAGGTTGATGTAGATTCCTACCTCGTTGGTGATGGGATTGTGGTGTTAGACCCTTAGAGAATGTACCTCGATCTCCATAGGTATGACTGCACCAGTTCCAAAGGCGAGGGAAAAAGAGGTTTCTCTGGTTAGAGTTCTCGACATCGTTCAGTAGGCCCATAATACACCTAGGAGTTTGTCAACCCAGAGACCCTTCGCTTTTTTAAGCCTTGTCTTTAGTTTGCATAATACTATTCTGACCATGAATTTTGTATGTCTGTTTGCCTTTGGGTGCGCTGGGCTAGAATGAAGCTACTTTATTTAGAGGTCGGAGTAGAACGAGTTCAGGAGCTTATTTTCGATCTTGGCGTTGTCACTTACTATGGCGTGGGATATCCCAAAGAGAAAAGTCAGGTTTTTCCAGATGAAATCCTTTACCTTTGCTTCTGTTATCTTTGCTAAGGGTTTGGCCTCTGACCACTTAGTGAAGTAGTTGAAAGCTACCACCACGAACGTGCACTGCCTTCTACTCAGAGGTAAGGAACCCAAGATGTCGATGCCCCATTTGAAAAAGGGCCACGGACTTGTGATGACAATTAGCTTTTCTGGCGGTTGTCTAGATATAGTGGCGAAGCGCTGACACTTGTCACACTTTCTACTGCACTCCTAGGCGTCCCTCACCATGCTAAGCCAAAAGTAGCCTTGCCTGAGTGCCTTGTGGATGAGAAAGCATCCTCTAGATTGATTCCCACAAACTCTTTCATGGATCTTTCTCAAGTCATAGTTAGCTTCTTATGGTGAAAGGCATCGTAGTAATGGTAGTAGCTTTTCTAGTACAAGATGTCTTATAAGATGGTAAATTTAAAGGCTCTCATTCTGAGTTTCTTGGCTTCTAGGGGGTTATCTGGAAACACGCCCTCCTAGAGGTATGCCCTTATCGGGGTCATCCAGTTTGATTCAATAAATTCATAGTTAACGTTTGTAACTTCCACATCTAGCTTGCTTGGTTTAAACTAGTGACCGATGAATGGTGGTCTTGATGGAGCTTCCAAGGATGAGGCGAGCCTAGCTAGTGCATCTGTAGACATATTGTCTTCCCTGAGGATGTGACAGATCTGAAAGTGGTAGAACTTACTAAGCAAGGCTCGCACCATAGCAAGATACTCATACATTCTAACTCCTTTTGCTTCAAATTCACCCTTTACTTGGTTGACTATCAGTTGTAAATTACTATAAGTGATGAGGTGTTGGACTTCCATTTCGATCGCCAACCTTAGGCTAGAGAGGAGGGCTTTATATTATGTNACTCATACATTCTAACTCCTTTTGCTTCAAATTCACCCTTTACTTGGTTGACTATCAATTGTAAATTACTATAAGTGATGAGGTGTTGGACTTCCATTTCGATCGCCAACCTTAGGCTAGAGAGGAGGGCTTTATATTATGCTTCATTGGAGCTTCACACAATACTTGATGGGAGTGTCGTCGGGGCTGATCAGGATTAGGCCTGCTCCACCTCTTTCACTGGTCGAGGTGCCATCCACGTAAAGCTCCCAGGGTGGTAGATAGGAGGACTTGGAAACCATTATGGGCATCTAGGCACCAGGCTTAAGCACCTGGGCACCTGACCTGGGCGCCTAGGTGTCTAATTGGGGCACCTGGTTGTTTTAGACACCCTTGTAGGGTGCTACGTTGTTTTACATGCCCAGGCTCAGCACTTGAGTGTCTGGGTATGTTTTTGATGAGGCTTGTTGAAGTGTTGAGGGCTTGCTGCTCTCCTCCTCTGCCAGTGTAAGCTTCGCAAATAAAGTTTACCAAGACTTGTGCTTTGATGGCTGCCCTCGGTTGGTACTGGATATCAAACTCGTCCAATTCTATTGCCCACTTAAGTAGTCTCCTAGAGACGTTTGGCTTTTCCAAAACCTTCTTTAGAGGCTGGTACGTGACAACGACAATGGTGTGATTCTGGAAATAATTTTGAAGGCACCTTACTGTTGAAATTAGGGCAAGTGCTAGCTTTTCTAGCCCTAAATATCTTATTTCTACTCCTCGGTATGCCCTGCTCACATAATAAATAAGCTTTTGCACTCCATCTTTGTCTCTGATGAGGACGGAGCTCACTACTGATGGGGAAGCAGAAAGGAATAATGTAAAGTTTCACCTAGTGTAGCATGTGAAAGGAGGGGATGCGTAGTCAAGTAAGCTTTGAGCTTTTGAAAAGCTTCCTCTACCTCAGGTCCCCACTTAAAGGCTTTTTGGAGGATCTTGAAAAAAAGTAAGACATTTATCTATAGAC